GCGCTCGGCGCCCAGCACCTCCACCAGCGCGCGCTCCAGGCCGCAGTAGTTGAAGAAGCGCTCCTTCTCCGAGAGCGGCAGCGAGCACGAGGGGCACAGCGCCCGCTTCCGGGCCGCCTCGGGGGCGTCGGGGGAAGCCGCCCAAGCCCCGGGAGGGGCCGATCGCTCGGCGGGACCCGGGCTGCTGGGAGCAGCGTCCCGGGAGGCGCCCAGGAAGAGGCGCCGCACCAGCCCCTGGCCCTTGGCGTTCTCTTTGTTCACCGAAGCCTTGCAGTCTCGCTTCTGGCGGTAGAAGATGAGCGAATCGGGCCTTGGCTGCCTCCGGCCGCTGCCCCGGCGGGCGGGCCCGGGGGTCCTGGGGGACACAGGGAGCCCGAGTTCATTGCAGGGGTGCGGGGTGAGCGGTCCAGGGCCCCCACGGAGGGCTGGCTCTTGGCGTCGGACTATCACCTGATGTGTCTTGACATACTTGGCCTTGTCGGCCTCCAGCCTCTCCACGGCGCTGGGGGTCCGCCCTCTAGACTGAGTGGACGGAGAAGCCAGGGGCATCTTAGCAGAGCTGGGCAGGACCGTGCCCCATAGGCAGCTGGAGGGACCCGGCCAGAGGAGGAGCCAAGGGCAATACGGGGATTTTCCTGCAAAAAAGAGGAATGGTCAGAGAGATGGTAGCTCAGATCACTGCCCCTCCCTGCAGGCATACCCGGGAACAGGATCAGCTGACCACCTCTTCCCCATCTGCTTTGGTTGAGTGCCTGTCCTTAGAGAAGAAAGAGCTACCCCCCCCCACACACATACCTTGTTGTTTAGAGACTGGTTGGGGGCTCTTTGTCACCCAGAAACATGTGCCCTAGCCCACCCCTTTTTTTGTCTGTTGTGAGGCTTGAACTCTGGGCCTGGACCCTGTCCCTCAGCTCTTCAGCTCAAAGCAAGTGCTCTACCACTTGAGCACCATTTCCGGTTTTTCTGGTGATTTATTGGAGATGAGTCACAAGGACGGGCTGGGCAGGTGGCTCAGTGGTAGAGTGCTTGCCTTGCATGCATGAGGCCCTGGGTTCGATTCCTCAGCACCACATAAGCAAAAAGAAAAAAGCCAAAGTGGTGCTTTGGCTCAAGTGGTAGAGTGCTAGCCTTGAGCTGAAGAGCTGAGGGACAGTGCCCAGGCCCCAAAACTGACAAAAAAAAAAAAATAGTCACAAGGACTTCTCCTGCTTGGGCTGACTTTGAACTGCGATCATCAGATCGCAGCCTCCTGAGTAGCTAGGATTACAGGCTTGAGCCACCGGTGCCTTTGAGTATACCTCTGTTTGTTCACAGGACCAAGCAAGAAGAAGCAGGACACTTGGGAAGGGAAATGAGACAGGTTCCAGTCCAATTCCCGAAAGTGGCCTTAACCGGAAAAAATACCTCTTCCCAACCCAGTAGCTTTAATCCCAAGACAAGGAGGCTTCTGGCCACAAGCTGGCTCCAACGGGGCCCACCCTTCCCGCCCCCAAGCACCGAGGTCAGAGACATAACCACAGGTTAGAAGTCTCCAGTAACTGCCCTGCCCAGGCCAGCAAGGCTGTCCAGGAAGGAGAGGGAGGTGGTCCCCAGGTCATGTCAGCCAGCTACTGCCAGCCACTCTGTGCCCCTGCCAAGAGGATGCCAAAAAAATGAACTGTAAACATCACCCTATCCAGCTCTTACATTTCCATTCCCTAGGCCAGAAATCTGGCTCAAAGTGACAGAGAGAGGAAGGGACTTGCTCAGGTTCTTCTGAGAGTTAAGGGACTGGCTGGAGCCTAGGCCTCTGGCCTCAGAACTAGTTCAGATAGAGTCATTTGTCTCTGTTCCTGCTCTTAAAAAATCAAGTCAGGAGTTGGGAGTGTGGCTTAGTGGTAGAGTGCTTGCCTAGCATGCATGAAGCCCTGGGTTCCATTCCTGAGTACCACATACACAGAAAAAGCCCCAAGTGGTCTGTGACTCAAGTGGTAGAGTGCTAGCCTTGAGCAAAAGAAGCTCAAGGACAGTGCCCAGGCCCTGAGTTCAAGCCCCAGGACTGATAAATAAATAAATAAAGTGAGCCTCACTAAAAAGTTCCTTCTAGTGATTCTTCCCAGCAACCCACAGGCCCAGAAATCCACCCTCAGGGTAGATTTCTGTCTCCTCATCTGGAGGCCTCTGACCCTTCTCCACTGTCCTTGTCTTGGGAAAAGGGTAGGAAGGGCTGTAAATCAAGAGCTGCCAGTTTCCTTGGCAGCTAACAGAATAGGCCACCCACGTGGCTCAGTATACCCCACCCAGCCCCTATCTCCTAGCCTCCCTTCCCCCATTCTGCTGAGAGGGACACACTGGTGCAGGGGATGAGAGGAGGGGACCTTGAATCTGGAGACAACAAAGGAACAGATCCTTAGGTGGAGGGTCCCCCCAGAAGCGCCCCCCCCACCCCCGCATCCTGGGGTAGAGGCCCTGACAACCCTACCTCTCAGTTCAACCTGTTTATATTAATTACCCTCCACAGTATACCTCTCCTCTTGTAAGTCTGTCCAGAGATGAGAAGAACTAGGTATCCAGGACAGCCTGACAGTATCCCTTCCCTTCTCCCAAGGACTATGTGGGGGTCACAGGTCAGATTTCAAAGTCCCAGGAGGGCACTGAGCTTGTCTGACCTCCTGTGTGCTCTCTTGTCCCCTCCTCCTCTGGGTAGAGAGGCTATAAAAAGTCCTTAAACACCAGCACCAAAATAGTTCCCTGTCCTCCATCTCTTCCCTGCCTTCTGGGCTGGCTTTGATGCCCAGGCACAGAGAGCCCTCCTTACAGCCTGGTGGTAGTCTTTGTCTCCTATGGCCTTTGCCTACCCTCTCCCAGTTGTGGAGTAAGTAGTTCCAACTCTGCCCCTGGCTTCTGCTCTGGACACCAGCTAGCTTCCAGGCTCAGCGGCTGGGTGCCAGCCTTGCCACTCTGGGTTCCTGGGTGAGTTCTCACCCAGCTCTGGGCTCAAGATGAACTCACCTTTGTGTGGGAGGCTGAATTGCAGCGGTCCTTGGGCAGGTCCAGACTGAGGGCAAGAGGGACAGCACAGACTAGAAGTAGCTTCGGTGGCAGCCAAACCTTGCTCTCCACAGGAAAAGCAGAGCCTCCACCCCCCAGATTAACCCTTCCGGACCCACAGCCTGGCCCTGTTAACTCCTTCCTGATCACATCTCAGTGGAGCGGAACCATAGCTTCACTCCTTTGTTTTATGGATGGTCAAATAGGCTCTGCCCAGGTAAATGGTTTTCCATGGAGACACCAGGAACTTGAAAGCAGTGCCAGGACCCCACACAAGACCTCCTGATCCCCAGGCTCCCTCCAGAGGCCTGGGACAGGGATGCTACTGCAGTCCCCCTCCCTCAGCTGGGCAGATGCTCTGACACAGACTGTAAGGCCCAGTGGGGTCCTAGTGGACTTGTGGTTCTCCCTTGGTGGCGAGTTCAGGCCATAACTGAATCATCTCCTTGGATGATGGCCAGCTTGCTCTCTATTTTCAACCAGGAATCTGTGGTTTACAGGAAGATGCTGATGTGCGGGGTAGCCTGTCCCAGCAGACTAGGAATAAGGGTCACACAGGAGGGGCTACCCCTGACCAAGATGCTCCAGTGGCAAATGGCTGGGAAGAAAGTGACAAGAGGAAGCTGCTGGGGCCAAGCTTCTGTTTTTTACTTTCCTACTGACTTGGAACTGTGATCCTCATATCTCAACCTCCTGAGCAGCTAGAATAACAGGCATGAGGCATGAAAGCCCAGCTTGATGGTGGTGGTGTTGGTTGTGTGTGTGTGTGTGTGTGTGTTTGACTCAAGGACATGCCCAAGTCATGGGGGAAGTCCCCATGGGGCAAAGCTCCAGTTCAAAGTGCAGCTACCTGTAGCAGACCATTTAGCATAAGTCCCCTTCCTGGCCCCCACTCCCCACCCTTTTCTGGGACTTCTTAATGCTTGCAAAGCAATTTCACTGATCTGTTCTTTGATCACTGACAACCCCCCCCCCCGCATAGATTCTAGAAATGGGGCTCATCAGGAGAAGAGGAAATAATCAAAGGAGAAAAGACATGCTCAGAGCCCATTCTGTCCACTTCACCCCCTGCCTGTTAGGCAGGGTCAAGAGTTTGAAGCTAGGTACAGGTGGCTCACACCTGTAATCCTAGCTACTCAGGAAGCTGAGATCTGAGGATCATGGTTCAAAGCCAGCCTGGGCAGGAAAGTCTATGAGACTGTTATCTCCAATAAACCACTAGAAAAACTGGAAGTGGTGCTGTGGCTCAAGTGGTAGAGTGCTTGCCTTGAGCTTAAGAGCTGAAGAGGGACAGTGCCCAGGCCCAGAGTTCAAACCCCACGACTGGGAAAAAAAAAAAAAGAAAGTTTAAAAACTCAGGGCCTGTCAAGCAGAAAAGGTCAGATAAGTTGATGTTAGGGAATGAACCCTAAGATATGTATTCAAATGTTTTTTTTCTTTCATGCGATCGTTTCTAACACATTTATAAGATTATTTCTTTGTTGCTTTGAATGTCCCTCCCCCACAGTATAACCCCTGCTTTCACTGTATTTGATGTCGTTATAATTTGTGGAGGGGAAGGGAAAAAACAAATCCAGGTGGCCCCATGGCAACAAGTTGTTATGTTGAAAACGAACTTTACAACTTGGGGGGGGAGGATTGGGTGAGGGGTAGGGGGAGGATTCTGGGAAGGGATGGAAAGGGGAAACAAAGGAGAAGGCTACAATGGGTGATAAGAAATGTACTCATTATCTTGCTCATGTAATTGTAACCCCTCTGTACAGTATTTTCACAATTAAAAAATAATAATAAAATAAAATTAAAAAAAACTCAGGGCCTGCCAGAAGATGGTTGACACTATACCTGAAGACAGGATTAAGTGGCCAATGCCTCTAATCCTAGCTACTCAGGTGGCTGAGATCTGAGGATTATGGTTCAAAGCCAGCCTGCGCAGGAAAATCTTGCCAATGAATCATCCAAAAAAGCCAGCAGTGGTGAAAGGGGGAAAAACAAAAAAGAGCCAATGGAGA